GCCCCCCGCCCGCGTTCTGGGCAGGGCCCCCGGAGCTCCGTAGGGAAGTTCCCAACCCTCTTTTTCTTAGTTTTCTCTCTTAGTTCTTTTCTCCTCCCTTAGTTTTGGGAAGTGATAAGTGATGAGCATGGCATTGACCCAGCCGGAGGCTATGTCGGTGACTCAGCGCTGCAGCTGGAAAGGATCAATGTCTACTATAATGAATCATCGTGTAAGTGTGGGATGGGGAGGGGTGCGGGACAAGGGGACTCCGTGGGAAAGGACACAGATATCTGGGAGAGAAGGGGTTTGTGAAGCAGTATTGCACATCTGGTCACAATCCTCGCATGCTGTGAGCCCCCTGAGCTGATCCCAGCTCACCCCGTTATACACAGAAAAGGTGATAAACTTTCTTACAGGTTGATAGCTAGGTGTTACCTCCCCAGGCAGAGAGAAATGGCACAAGGGGTTGTCCTTAGGGTCTGGGGGTGGAGGTTTGTTTATTATTAAACACTATGCTAGGCGTTTGCTCTTCTAACATATGATTATTTCAGCAGATGTGTCTTACCAATTGCCCCAAATTCAACTGTTGGTTATAGAGCATGCACAGGTAGTGCTTTGTCTCTGATTTCATGACTGAGAGGGTTGGGCCACAGGTAATGGAGAACTCAACAGTCATTCATTAGCAAGATGCCAAAGACTCCCAAATCCTCTGAGTCAGTCTAGTGTTGAAGGGTGTTAACAGTGTAAAGTGAGGATCATGGGTCCTTTCGTCTATTGACGTGAACCTGCAAGTGCAAATGTTTCCTGTTTTGTTCAGCTCAGGTTAATTCATATTAGTTACCTGAGTTTCTGTGAACAATTTCAACTGGATACAGATTCTTTATTTCGTGCTTTGTGGTAGGTATGTTAATCTACTACGGTTTGCCACCTACACCAAGTAGCTCTTTCAGTGGAGGTGAATCCTTCAAGCATAAAAGCTTGTGAGATGTATTAGGATCATTTGAACATAAACCCTTCGCTCACCCCATTATTCACAGAAAAGATTGTCTACTTTCTTATGAAGAACATATAAACCATTTTTTCTAGTTAGAAACTTCCCTCCCTCATATCTGTTGCTAAAAAAGTGCTTACTAAATGTAACTTACTGTCTGTATGACCCAAAAGTTGTCAGGTCTGTTTTTCAAGCGGAATTGATTTGTTTCTATGGTGCTTGGTTTCTTCACCACCATGACTTCCTGTACAGGAAATATTTATATATGTACAATTTTTATTAGACTAGTAGTAAGAGACAAATGTATTTGTGTATTGAGAGCTATAACCATGTTAACTTATTTCAGAACATTGAAGACATGCTTACTTTTTCTTGTAGCCCAGAAATTTGTACCAAGGGCAGTCTTAGTGGACTTGGAGCCGGGAACCATGGATAGTGTGCGGTCTGGTCCTTTTGGTCAGCTCTTTCGGCCTGATAATTTCATCTTTGGTATGTGGACATCACTTTTTAAAAACCAAAACTATCCAACGGGTGTTTGATTACCAAGTGAATGCTCAAAAAGCATTTAAGCTCCCTATTCCAAAGTGATTGTTAGTACTAATAAATCCTAATAGCTTAATACAATTCCAGTTATCCATAAGTCAGGTAAAAGATCCCATTAACTGAAAAAGTCATTTTTCTGTTAATTATTCCTTCAATTAGCAAACTACTGAAAGTTTCCTCTGGTATTCAGATAAAGTGCATTTGCTTTCCATATATGTGAACTCCCGAGAAATCCTGAAACCACTTCTTCACAACAAAATGCATGGAAATTTTGAAGAAAATGGAGAAGGGGAAAAAAAGCCCCAACCACAAACCAACCAGACTACTCTTCACTTGAATTCACATTAAATGCTTGAGCATTGAATTGTTTATAGGCTGTGTAATTCAACTTACAGTATAGTAAACAGTGGAGGAAGACCAACTGTAACATGGAAAACACTGTCATATATAGCCACTTACTGGGTTGTTTTCCAGCATAATGAGGAACAGTCTGTAAGCGTATGGGGAACTTCTGGTTTTGCAGTGTTCTTGCTGAGTGCTATTTTGGCCTTCACTGTTTCACTTTGGACTTCTGTAGTACTTTCCATCTAAGCTTAAAAATGCACATTATCAAGGTTAAATTGCATAGTATCCTTACAAAGTACAGAAGCATTACTGGTCCCTTTGCACTAAAGGAGAAACAGCGTGTGAAAGTTCAGTGATCCACTTGCTGAAACAGGAAGTCTGAGTGAAAGCTACCATGAGAACTCTTGTGTCCTTTTGATTTCCAAGTCTGCATTAGCCACAAAACACATTTCCTCCTGCCAAGGCAAGCTTAGGTTGCAACTTAGTTTGCTATATTTTGTTAACATAAGGAAGGAAGAATGCCAGGGACAGACAGAGAAAAGATTATCTGGGTGGTGTAAAACGAATTTAAGTCTGGGTTGTTGCTGTTGAGATGGGGAGTAAAGAAGCCATACAGAGTCACTTAAGTCTTTTAACTGATTTAACTTTTAAAGCTATCCCTACTGTTCTCTTGCATACTCCATGGCAGTGAAATGAAGGGTCTCTCTCGAAAGAGTTTCAACTTACAACATGTAGAAGTAAGCTTGGGGAGAAAAGCCATAAACATAAGACAGCTTTATGAAGTATGTTTCTATGTTCAGGTTTCTTCTTTCATTCTCTTTCTCCTGCATGGACCATACAAGCCCTCTGAAAGTGAATTCACCTGACCTGTGGAAATACTTGAACTGGAACTTTACAGTTTGGCATACCACCAGTAAACCTAGAGCTAAATCAGTTTGGAGTGCCTTCAATGATAGTCCAGTTCACTGTGCTCCCTTCCTGCCAAACTAACAATGAACCAACAGCATGTGATCAACTTGTATCTGACAGAGGCCCCTGCCAGCATCAAATACTGTCCTCCCAACCTGCTGAATAATGCAGAATGGCTGCCTGAGCACTGAAGTAATGATCTTCTGTGTCAAAAGCTAACAAAGCGTCTTGTTTTCTCTTTCGGAAATCTGGCCTGGGCTCACAAAGGATTTTGCGGCAGAAGCTGGCAGTTCCATACTTGCTGTGCCTCAGGCTGTTAGGATTTATTCTGACAGAGATGTTTCCCCCCTCTACTTGTGTGTACTTGCATGTGCCCATGTCTCCATAGCAAGTAACTGACCATCAAACAGGATTTCATTCGGGTATATCGAGTTTATGATCACACACTCCAGATACAGTAATTTTATATCGGACCAGCAGGAGATTGAGATGGACACAAAACAATCCTTGTGCTTTAATGCTTTTGTTGACAAGGCAGTGATCTAAAAGGTGAAGAAGCGCAGGTGGAATGATCTCATTGTACAAGAGCAGCAGGTCTCCTGGCCTTCTAACAGGATGCGATTGCCCACCAGGAACTGCTGTGAACTCTGGTCTATCTCCTCTTGTTAAATAGTTTTCTTTTCTACATTTTTGGATTTATCATGCAATTCTTGTGTACACCCTTGCTAGTTTTGCTGCATGGGTACCACCCCAATTTAAGTTGACTGAACTGGCAGGGGCAACCACAAAATGGCTGTTATCCAGTCAAAGGAGCTGTCCTTCCCTCTCTAAATCATACCGTGTGCTCTGTACCAAGGGCTGTTCGTACTGGGCTTCTACACATTAGCGTGCAAGCTACTGATCTCTCTTCCCAGGTTTGTCTCTTTTATTTCAAGCAGTGAAGAAAAGAAAGGAGTGAAAGAAGATTGCAGGAAATAGTTGTAATTTTAGGGATTAAAAAATAAATTGACATTGGACAAATGGCTTCTATGTATATGCAGCTCAACTTGAACATGTGTGATAACCTTACAATACATTGGAGAAAGAAATAGTGGTAGGAGGTACCAAGAGTGCAGGTAAGTTGTGGGATTGCTTTGTGTAGACTTCCTTTAGATCTCGGTAGATGCACAGTGAGAAGAGGCAGGATACTGGAGAAGGGCTGCACACAATGCAGAGCTTCCAGGATTGGCAAAAGATCTGCCAAGTCCTGATTTTTGTGGATGCAGGCTCATTTTCCACTGAGAGATTTAGTCCTGGTGGAATTTTATTGTTTTATGTGTTTTTCCAAGATTTTCAAAGGTCTAGTAGGTACCTGATAAGTGGAGAGCATCCAGTAGGGTTTCACAGGATCATGATCAAGATTTCCAGGTGTGTGGCAGCCTTGTCAAAGCTGTACTGTACTGTATTGTCATGGGTAAGAAGTGGAGCTTCTAGGGCTTGTTGTAAATGTTCTGTGTGGTGGTCCTACAGTGCTACAGAGCCAGTGGGATCAGATTACTGGGCATATACATGTCCACAGCAGGAAATATCAAATGAAAATGTCGGAGACCTTTGGCAGGCGGCTGACTAGTGGATGAAGTGTTACCATGGGAGTACCTGATAGTTGTAGGCTGGAGGGAAGCCATCAGTATTGGTATAGGCAGCCACTACTACAGTTCCACTCAGCAGTTTAAAAACAAAGGTCATGTTAGTGCAATAGAGAGAGATAGCAGTAGTCGTGTGTGCATCCAGGAATTTGTGTGACTCGGATAAAGACTGAGTCCAGTGCAGTGGAGGACCCAAAGGAGGACAGGTCCAGCTCTGTGTTAGGCATTTTACCTCCAAGCTTAATTTGAAAACTAAGCAAAAGGAAGTAAAATCAGTCTCTGCTGATTCTTTTTTTCCCCCCAGGAAAATACCATTTCTACATTTGTGTCAGGAATTGGCATTCTCTTACCTTGTTCTTTGTTCCTTTCTTCATTCTCTCCTATACTCTGTTCTCTCCTTATCTCACTGCCCACTGAAGAAGGACAATACAATGTTTATCCAAGGCTAATCTGCAAAATCAAGTCCTAACCTCAGAATTTGGCTTTGTTAGGATCTTTCTACATCTTAGAGTGATGTCTGCTTGTTAGTGTGCAGCTTGATGTATTGCCCTATCTGTAGTAGGGGATCAGCTCAAGCAGACTGCAGATGGTTACAAGCATTATTTAATTCTGGAAGGACGTTACTTTGTGCTTTTCCCAGCTGCACAGGAAGTGCTCGGCTCCCTAGGTTCAAAGAGAGAAAAATATAGCAACATATAGAACAATGTGTTAGCTAAACAAATACATCATGAGGAAAGCAAGCATTTACATGGTGAAATAAAGTGCATCATATTTAAACAATATCCCAGCAAGCAGTTTCCCCAATTAGTATGTTTGGCAGCAACAGAGTACACTGGGAATTGAAATGAAACATGGTAATAGGAAGGAAGGGGAAGGTCTTGGAGAACAACGCAGAGGTTGACAGCTCTGTGGCTGATTCTGCACATATTGCTTTTTTCCAAATTACAAGAGTACCATTAAGTGAGTTCAGTGGTGTGATGTATGTATGTAGTAGTCACTGTGAGGAGCAGGAGTATTAAAAACTGGTCGCTCATTCAGTCCTCCGTGTTATCTATAGCATAATGGCAAAGGATCCAGAGTGTCCACCTTAATAAACTGAGTGGCAAAAGGAAAATGGAAGCTTTAGGGAGAAAATGAGGGGCTCATGAAATGTCAGTAATCCAATTTTGCAAGTTGCTTTGTGGATACAGAATAGTGAGTTTTTAGGGAAAAAAGTAAAAGCTAAAAGGCACTTAATAACTCCCAAGTTCTTGAAATAAGGTTCTTGAAGCTTCTGTTGATTGCTGTTTTCATTCAGACTAGGCAACCGTTAATTTAAAAAGCTATAGTTCTTCATATAACAAGTTAAATACGACTTCTGAAGCCCAGCCTTGTCCTTGAATGACAACAATGCCTCTGTGTCTCATGGGAACAGTCCAAGAACCTTTCATTTAGAAATGTGTATCTGTGATTTAGCTTTGTATACATCATGTGCTTTATAAACAGAAAGTATTTAAATATTAAACAGTCATCTTGTGTTTATGGAATAAGTAGGATTGGGAGTGTGAAAGCTTTCAAAACAAGGAGTCAAGGCCATCTTTGCATGTATGGAAGTTTAAATACCAAAAAATAAAAAAAAACACACCGAAAGGCATAAATTAAAACTACCAGGGATTTGAGGCAAAAGGAGACTATATAAAAAGTTTATGTTGATACTTCCAAAGATATTTGTAGGCAAAACTGAAGAACACAGTTACCTACCTGACAGATACATAGCAGCTTTTGTTACAAATGTGAATCCATTTAGCATGCAAATACCAAACCTTACCAATAATTTTGTATATTTTCTTTCCCTGTTTTATGTTATTTTAGGACAAACTGGTGCAGGAAACAACTGGGCTAAAGGACACTATACAGAAGGGGCAGAGTTGGTTGATTCTGTACTTGATGTAGTAAGAAAAGAGTGCGAACACTGTGATTGCTTGCAAGGATTTCAGCTCACTCATTCTCTGGGAGGAGGGACAGGGTCTGGCATGGGAACCCTACTCATCAGCAAGATACGAGAGGAATATCCTGACAGGATAATGAATACCTTTAGTGTCATGCCCTCTCCAAAGGTTTCTGATACAGTGGTGGAGCCTTATAATGCTACACTCTCAGTCCACCAGCTGGTTGAAAATACAGATGAAACCTACTGTATTGACAATGAAGCTTTGTATGACATTTGCTTCCGCACCCTGAAGCTCACCACTCCAACATACGGCGATTTAAACCACTTGGTTTCTGCTACCATGAGCGGGGTAACTACATCCCTGCGTTTTCCAGGCCAACTAAATGCTGACCTCCGGAAGCTGGCAGTAAATATGGTCCCTTTCCCACGCCTTCACTTTTTCATGCCAGGCTTCGCTCCTTTGACAGCCCGAGGCAGCCAACAGTACCGAGCACTCACTGTTCCAGAGCTCACCCAGCAGATGTTTGATGCCAAAAATATGATGGCAGCCTGTGACCCAAGACATGGGCGGTATTTGACAGTGGCTACTGTCTTCCGTGGTCCCATGTCCATGAAGGAGGTTGATGAGCAAATGTTGGCCATCCAGAACAAGAACAGCAGTTACTTTGTGGAGTGGATCCCAAACAATGTCAAGGTGGCAGTGTGCGACATTCCTCCTCGTGGCCTCAAGATGGCTTCCACGTTCATTGGCAACAGTACTGCTATTCAAGAGCTCTTCAAAAGGATCTCAGAGCAGTTTTCGGCCATGTTCAGGAGAAAGGCTTTCCTCCACTGGTTTACAGGAGAAGGAATGGATGAAATGGAATTTACAGAAGCAGAAAGCAACATGAATGATCTAGTTTCAGAGTATCAGCAATACCAAGAAGCAACAGCAAATGATGGAGAGGAAGCGTTTGAAGATGATGAAGAAGAAATTAATGAATAAAGAAATCAGGTGCACTATTTTCCAGGCCAAATTCTCAAATCTGGATTTCTAATAATTGGGCTTATTAAACAGTATTTAGGCTTCAAAAAAGAAAAAAAGGAGCACGAGTCTCAGATATTAGAGATGCTCTTCAGAGTCCATTGAGATCACTGAGAACTGAGGACATTCAGCATTTCTGGAAATCAGGCCATTTCTATTCATAAGATAAATGTAAGGCATTCAGTTAAGACTTTGGCCTTAGAGTCTGAACACAGAGATTGCTAGTTCGGGATTTTTTTTTTCACAAAGTTTGTTGTCCCTAAAGTTGTACAAGAGCAGGCATAAAATAGGCATGAAAATCTACAAAAAAGAGCTGCACTATTTTCATCCAATTATGAGTAAGAAAATCTTGTGGGTTAGAAGTATTCGTTCTGTACCAAATGTACACTACCAAACTGCCAGGAACAAAATTTATTCATAATAAAAAGAAGAAAAAGTTTTTAGCTGTTCTGTACAGTAACTGTTAACAGTGATGGTTGACTGCAGTCCTCTAAAAACAAAATAAAAAAGATTAGTATCCTCTCAAGCAACAGTCAAATGTACTCTACCAAACTGCCAGGAACAAAAAAGAAGAAAAAGTTTTTAGCTGTTCTGTACAGTAACTGTTAACAGTGATGGTTGACTGCAGTCCTCTAAAAACAAAATAAAAAAGATTAGTATCCTCTCAAGCAACAGTGTTGTGGGCGGTGAATGCTATATAAATATCCAGTGAGCTGCAGGCCAGAGGCTGGATTTATGCTATGTCACTTCATCACTTGCTGCTGGATAATCACAGATTACATGTATGATATATATCCATTTGTGATGTGTTCTTTAAGGACCCTTGAGTTTAAAGTGGCACCCCAATATCTTGCTGGTCCCCTGTTTTTCTGGCTATCACCAGTTACTGTGCTATTCCAATCTCCATTCCATGTAACCCACATAGCTGAAAGTCAGATACTCCACAGAATATGGTGGGAGAGGTGACATAGGCTATGTGTCGATATATCTCACTACCTAGGTTTATAAGTTCACCACACCTATTGATGCTATGGATGTCTGTCTGGACAGATTAAGGTTAAAGTATTTATCCACAATATTCAAAACAGCTGGCAAAATGAAAGATGAACAACAGTTTGTCTGCTTACACTAAAGCAGAAACAGAAGGGTCTCTGTCTTACTCAGCTGACTTTCTGCCTTAAGTGACTGTTGGGCATTTGCTCCATGTGCATGCTTTACGTTTCTGCTCATATCAATTAAACAGCCTTTCTCCATTAGAGGACCTCTACCAGAGAACACTCTGTCTACATGGAGTCTCTTATTTAGGTCAGTTTCTAGGCAACAACACAAGCAAACAAAGGAGAAGCCCTCTGGAAATCCAAACTTCAAATGTTTCAGGAACTCTTTGCTCTTTTTCTTCTTGCCTTCAGAAGCACTTTCTAAGCAAAAGTGTTGCTCAATACTTAAAAAGGCACTTTACAAACAATTTCCAAAGAGCCATTGCTCCTAACAAGATGATGTTATGTTCTGTTTGAGATTCAGGGAATGAGATAGTATTTTATAGTGTATGAACCAACCAACTGTTAATCACATAAGCTGAAGCTGTCTGCCCAATTTTATTCTGCACAGAAATGGAACTAAACTAGTATTAATCAAGTACAAGTTTTTCATGTAAAGTGACTTCATGGGTTGAGCCAGATGGTCTTTGGAACATACAAACCAAACTGGCTTTGGTACAGGCATATAGGCAGAGGTTGGGAGGGCCTGGCTGATTATTGTTTGAAGGGGTGTGATGGAGTCAGCAAATTCCCAGGGGGCCACATCCTTTGCACTGGCTAGTGATGCTGAAAAAATTAATGAATAGCAAGAGAGCACCTTTAAATATGCATTTTATAAATGTTGCAATATGTTGTAGCTATGTGTTTGTCATGGCATGAGATTAAGCTAAAACACAATATGCATTAGAGAGAAATTAACATTTAGTGCAATACAAAGCAAAATCTGTGGGGAATAAAGCTATTAAACTTAAGAAGTTTAGTTGCTGCTTTGTAAATGGGAGGCTATTAGCTTCAAGAGGGCAGAGAATGTGTTACAGGCTCAGAGCCTGCCATTGTACAGCTTCAGCACAGACTTCAATTAAAGCACTACCATAACTTCTGAATGAAGTAGAACCAACCATCTCACAGCATGTGGAACTGCATTTTCTTGTGATACGGAATTCATAAAGTTAATACTTTAAAAATGCCAGGAATCTTGGAGGTCCTAAATAATGGAGTTATTCACTTGATGAACCAGCCTGTTATTTATTGCTTTTCATACACTGACTCCAAATCCACAACATAGACTCAGCCTGTGGAATCCAGACCTGACGATGTCCTCTGATCCTGCTTTGACCCTTAGCCCTTCTTTTGCATGTGTTTACTTGCAACTGTTTGATATGAATTTCTAGAATGTATGAAGGTGGGGGAGGCAAACTAATGCCCTCTTCAAGAAAAAAAGAGATCATCCATCTGATCTTAGGAAAAAAACCCCACAACCCACCAAAATGAACTCAGGAACCTGTAGTAGGAACATTGTCAGAGAACCAGCTTGCATGTAAGCAGTAAGAAAGCCATAGGAAGCACAAATACTTCTTGTTCCTCTTCAGTCAACCAACTCTATCTAATCTCTTTCCTGACATAAATTGTAACCTGCTTTAATAACAAGTTTGGTGAAAAAATTGTTCAATTACACTTCCTTTAAAATAATTTCCTGCTTTTTCCTTAGAAACACCTCTTATTTTAAAATCTACCTGCTGAGTTGCACCTTTTCTTTCTGTGCCTATTCCACCTTCATTTTCTCTCCTTTTTACTGCTTTGCACATGGCCACAAAAAAAAAAAAAAATGCATAGAAACAGGCTGCCAGAACAAAGCCAGCCCTAGGAAGGCCTAAAAGTTTAGCTCCCAGTACCACGCAGACACAAACACCTCTGGCCAGCACTAGGATGGCAGGAAAAAAAGAACATCTGGCAACCTACACTGACACCACTTGAAAACAGAGAGTGGGCTAGGTGTGCCATGGGGAGAAGGTGTGATGTGAGGACAGAAATAGGAGTTTAACCTGATGAGACTGTTCCTTTGCAAAGTGTCAGACCCAGCAAGGAATTGAGCAGACCCTCATACAGCCATGACAGCCCCTGTGCGTGTTACCTTAACCAAGCTACTGTAGGCTCTTGATTTCTCTGCATCCTGAGATTACTGCTCTCTAGTTCTTCTCTTGTATTTGCATCTCCTTAGGAAAAGGTGGTCACCTCCTGGGAATGGGGTCAGGCTGGGAAAGAGGGTCTAGAGCTGCTCCTTCTCCGGGCATTGGGAGGAGCAGGGAACTCAGTGGTTCCCTCCATGCTGTACAAGCCCCTACTAGTTGAAGCAGCACTGCTCAATGGGTTTGCAACAAAAATTAATCTGGCCTTATTAGCAGCCACAGCACAGACTAAACCTGATTTTCTTGATTTATGTTAAACCACCTTAAGTCTTAAATTTGTGAGTAGGAGGATGCTAACAGTCCTCTTTACAAGAAGCAGGTTAGGTAAGCAGAAGCTTGGGGTTTTTTTTCCCCCCCGTATCTTTGTTTTGATTCCAAAATCCCAACAGTCAAATTCTGACACTTTTGGCACAAAATATTAAGATTTACTAAGACTACACAAAGCAAGTTAATGCTCTAAAACAGGGACAAAGGGACTTGCCTCTCCTTTTCCTTAGGATATGCTTAGTAATTGCATGCTGCAACTAAACAAAATGAAATTTAGAAGCAGACAGCACAAACAGGGAGTGAGAGAAAATGATCTCCTCTCCAGGAAACATTAGTAGTACCATTTGCAAAGAGCTAGATGGGGGTGGTTTTTTTTGGGGGGGGGTGGATGGTTGTGGGTTGCGGGGGGGTTTTGGTTGGTTTGGGTTTTTTTTTTTAAGCAGGGAACACAGAAATGCAGAATTCTGACCTTTACAACATAAGCACAATTAGCTCTCAGCACTGGCTACAAATTGCCTATTCCAAACAACTGTTCAGCTAAGCCAGGAGGGTGGTGGAATAGAACAAACAAGGCACTAATGCAGAATGTGTGTAAGGTGCATGACTATGGCACATGCACAGAAATCACTACTTTACTGTGTAAGATTTAAGTTTACTATTGCAATGAATCATCCTCAACTTTGATTCCAATAATAAAGGACCTGAAGTTTAGTTTTATTCAGGATGCTTTCCTGTGTATCATTCATTCTACAACATTGAATGGAATAGGAATACACAGAAGTGTTGCTTAACAACTACAAGTATCCAGTAAATATGCCCTAAATTGCTGTATTTGCTGTTTCCCTTGTTCCTCTTCACTGTAAAACTAGGCAGGATCAGAGATGGGAACAGCTTCATCATGAATTAAAAAAAAAAAAAAAAAATCCCAAAAGAATAGTTTCCATAAACAATTTACTTCAAATAACTCAAGCAAAGAGTTTATGTCTGACCTTTTCAGGACAACTTTTTCCTTTGTCATCCTACTGCTTTCCAGCATGTTGCAACATACAGATGGAATCACTAATTATTCCTGCCTACCTTAAAGCAGAGAAGCTTGCTTCATTCTCCTTCCACACTTAACTACCCCCTCTGACCCTCCACCCATGCTTCCCTCTCTTCTTCTGGGATAAGCAGACAGTGAGCCAGTTTTTGAAGAGCCTAATTCTCCAACTAATAAATCCTTAGCATGCAGCAGGCAACCAGAACCAGATTACTATACTAAGTCAACTGTATTCAACCAAGCAGAAGGAAAAAAAAAAAAAGCAGCTATAGGTTAAACAAACCAATATGAAACTGACAATCTGATGTATCACCTTTGCATGTGGCTGCTGGTTTTGGTATTTGCATGCCCAATCTCACTACCCTAATTTAACAAAATCTTGTGCTTAAAAGGAAGTTTTGTATCAGTCTGAATTCTATACCAAGAAACCAGCAAAAAAAAAGGACAACACTTGTTCAGAAAAGTACTGATTTTATTGACTCAAACTGTATTTACACAACACTTCATATGTTCAATATCTTACAGAACTCTGTAAAAAACTGACTAATAAAACTGCAGGAGCCACATGGAGTTTCAGACTTGAAGACACTGAACCATGAGTACATTTTAAGATATTTAAGTGGGTGTCCAGTTTCACTGTCAATTTACATGGCAGTTCTCTGTAAACAAACTCTTAAAAATCAAAACGAAAGGTGGAGGGGAAAAAGGTCAGATGAAAGGCCAATAGTTTTGCAGAGCTAGTACTTTCTAAGACCAGACTTTTGGCTAAGCATTCAGCAATACATTTGTACGATTTTTTTTTGGGAAGCAGGTCACATACAGGTCTACTTTAGATGAATAGTCAAAAACCTTTGAATTTTTTTTTTTTTGTTTAAGCTTGCATACAGTTTGGTTTTATTTTGTTTTTTGAAGACACCAGTGCTGCAAAGTTTGTGCGTGAATCTGAATTTCAAAGTTTGAGAGGCTTGGTTCTGGCATTCCACTGCAGCTCAAATCCAATGTCTGTTTCTTCAGCTGACAAATGAAAGATCTTTTACCAGTGAACTGATGATACCACATATATAAATTGGGAGCAGAATATCCTTATTTCATCACAAGAGATCACTCTTCCACCCATCCCTTATACAGTTTGGTTGAATAAATATTTGTTTGTTTTGAAGTACAAACTAGGTGAGTTTCTCTTCCAGAGTGCAAATCAACATCATCACACACTGTGCAGTTAAAATGGCATCCCTCCTGTCATCTGCCTAGCAACTTGTTCATCTGTCGTCTCCTCCTTCTCTTTTTCATGCTCTTTGTTCCAGTCTTTAAGGCCTTCTGGTAGTGAAGTATCCTCATCCAAACTTCCTGTACCTTCAACAAATTCTTCATAAGTAGACTTTTCAGCAAATGGTCTTGGGCCAAGCAAGTCTAGCATATCACTTTTATCAAGCACTTCCTTCTCTAGTAGTCGTAGGGCAACCTGGAATAGCAATAAGTTATTTCACACACAAAATACGCAAGCTGTCTTTCTTCCTTGGAAGAGTTTAAGGCAGTTTGGGACCAAATTCAGCACTGATTAATTTTGATAGAAAATGGTTTGCTCAGAGTTCACTTAATACATGGTTTTGCTACCTAAATGCTTACAAGGGAGAAAACCACCATTTTTGTAATCCTACTTTTACATCTGGCAAAGTGCCCTCCCTATGGGCCACTGTTGCGGTTACTGTTGCTTCAGAACAGCAGTCTTTCACTGCTGCAAGACATTACGCTATAGATGAAAACAAGCATTCCCTTCCTATCAAGCCGGTTGGTTTGAAAGGGCTGCTGTTCTGTTACAAACTAAACAGCATCATAAAATTACAATGTGTACAATACTGTACAAGTGTAGTTTGTAACCTTCTTGGGTCAGTGAGCATGTTGTTCAGCACAACCCATATTCAATGATCTTTTTTGGGATGGTGACCTACTACACCACCATCTACTAAATCCATACAAACTTGTCTTCTTGTCAGCAAGCCTATCAGGTGCATATCCTGGAGAAGTATTCTTTTGCTGTATCAGGCTTTCTGGTGTGGAAGAAGAGAGTTATGCACATGGGTAATCTCAGCTGCAGTGAGGCAGATCACAAGCAGCCAGGGGCAGGGAAGGAAGATGGTAGAAAGATTTTTATATTTAATGTTCAAAAGGAATTAAGAGAAAGGAAGTACTTCCCTTCTTTGAGAGCTTCTTTTAGCTTAATGAATTGCAATCCTGGTATTTCATGCCTGGGTTAAGTTTCATACCTGTCTAGTATGTCTACTCAAACCTATTTTAGTAGAAAGACTCTTCCCTTCAACTTTCCAAATGAATACTGACCATATAAGTGGGGGGGTGTTAAATCATGTTCATGAGATCCTCAGGGGTGTTCCAATACAAAAGGAATTTTCTATTTACTTAAGTGTTGTGAAACATTCTCAAGATTTCATGGAATAGTTTTTGATAAACACTTCCTCATATATTTATATAAGTCACTATTTTTAATCTATTTGGTTCAATTCAGATGCTGGCTTACCACCTGGAACTTGGTGGCTAAAAGTACTATAATGCTCACCTTCTCCACTTCTGCTTTCTTCTCAGTCAGAAGACTTAATGTCCTGTCATAAGCAATGTTAATGAGTGACCGTACTTCTTCATCTATCAGTCTGGCAGTTGCCTCACTGTAAGGTTTCTCTAATACCATGTCTCCTTGACGAGGGAGATCAAAGGAAATCTGTCCTACTTTTTCATTCATACCAAACTGAACAATCTGAAGAAAAAAGAAAAAGGAAAAAAAAAAATCAAAGTAGAGATAGTAAGATTTTAGAGTCTGTTGATGTAAAATAGGGTAAACAAAACTGAAAGGGTGAAGTAATTTTGCTATGATCCAAGCTTTTCCTCTAAAACCAACCCTCCCCTGAAAGCTCAGGGGTACTTAAGCTAAAGTAACTTAGCTGACTTTCACTTATTTCTTCTTAATGATTAAATTGAAGGACACAAATACCACCATTTAGAGGTGGTTACTCATTATGTACATGATGCTCTGCCGTCTAAATATGAAGACGTTACAGAAAAACACTTCAGCCTTCTTTAAGCAGTAAAACTCTTTTCTGTTACCAGAAATAAACATTTTTCCAATCCAAAATGCTTCTAAAGTATAGCATATTCCACTCACCCATACAGATAAGTTAACTTAAGGATTAAAATAGAGGGTCTTGAAGATTTTGTCCTATCATAATCAAAAATCGTATGCTACACTTCATCTCAAGACACTCCCCTACAAAGATGAAAATTATTCTTATCTTATTCAACACATTATTGAATATTGACTTCTCTGGTTCCCAAATATGGATGTTTTAAGTTGCATTTTACTCCAGCAGGTGCAGAAATAAATTCCAACTGCTATTTATGTATTTACTCCATTGCCACTATCAATTTGATGGCTACAAAAGCAGCACTTCTCTGCTTGGCCTTGCAAGATAAATACAGGTATGACAAAGAATATTTAGAATTCAAAGAGATCTCAGCATTAGAACCAAGCATCTTAACCTGCTTCCTTAAGAAAAGTTCAATACTTTTATTTAAGCCCCCAGTTCTCTCTGGGGACAATATGTCTGGTTAAGGTGAACGAAAATGTATACTTAAAAATTCATTTAAAATTGAAGAGTCACTGAAGATCCTATAAAATTAACATTAACAGGATTTCATTGCACATTTACTTCCAGAACAGGGGCAACAAGAAGCACACCAGACACCAGCCAGTGGGTGTGGTTTGGGGTTTTGGAGTAAGCGTTGTGCAGGGGAAGAGAAGGGTACTCTAAAGTGTCTCTCTTGCTCACCTTGTGGGTGTCTTATAAAATGACAGCTTTTGTGTTGATGCAGGAAATGGAATAAATTACCTGTGTGTAGCACGTAGCTACAGCTAGATGAGTCATTGTGTTGATAAGATTTCAAATTACTCATCTACACTAGTTAATATGGTACAAACACAAACAAATTTCAGTAGCTTTAATTGACAGCAAATACTGCTTAAACAAAAGGTTTTCTGGATTTAGTTACACATGTGGATTCATATTGGGTCTTCAAACTGGGCAACTGTAGAAGTAGGATCAGAGCACTAAATTCCATTTTAGAAGTATACCATTTCTGCATGTATTTGAATCCAAATGCAGCATGTATGTTCCTGCGGGGGCAGATGTAGGATAGTAATCAAAGCCTAATGCACAGGCTCCTGTTATAAGGCTATAATAAAGTACTTGAGTCATCAGCCTCTATACAACAACAGCATAATGTTTAGTTGTATAGTATTTTTTGAAACTAGGCTTTTGAGGGACACACCTGATCAAATTGCACCCTTTCAAAATATTAGTGTTAGGTAGTAGATAAGGAAAACTCTAAGAGGAAAAAAAACCCCAGACAACCAACTCTGCACATACCTGAGCATATGCACTCTGGGTCACCTTCTTCAAGTCATCTTGGGCACCAGTTGTAATTCTTCCAAAGAAGATTTGCTCAGATACACGTCCTCCCAAAGTCATGCACATTCTGTCAAGTAGTTGCTCTTTGGTATAAAGATACTGTTCTTTGGGTAAATACTGAGCATAACCCAGTCCTTTACCACGTGGGATTATAGATACCTACAATCAAAATTAACAGAATGCTAGAACTAAATAGTGCTAAAAACCAAAGAGCATTCTTTGATTTATCTTAATTTTTAATACCACAACCTATACCATACTCACCCTTGAAGTTTAATTCAGACATTATTTCCGTTTACAGTTTTGCCCTCATTGTGATTTATCCTTAAAAGCCCTGGCTAGCTCTAAACTGGGTTAACAACTACTAGAATATCTGGAAAAGAAAGGTAAGACCACTGTCATATCTTTTCCAAAGATTGTGTGGTATTTTAAAAATCTTTTAATGAAAATCCACAGTTCTTTTAGAGTTATGTATTGGGTTTTAAGTATTCTGTAACAGACATAGCATTTCTGCATCTTTAGTATTCTGAATAGTTGGAGGAGTTTCCATGTTTACTAGCGTCCTTCCTTCCAGCAGTAAATTGTGCAAGATGAATTTTAAGCTTGAAAGTCAGCCAACGTTAAGAACACAGCAAAGCAAAACTATGAATGTTAAAAGCAGCTCTGGGAGATTGAGGTGCTTTTTCCTTCATCTTCAAGTTGTTAAGCCGTGCATCCAAAAAGCAAATTAAAACTAAAATCAGCCTCTAGATGATCATTTTTATAGCTATATTCCTGAAGAGGCATCTACTTGCATAAGCTGGTAAGATTAATTGAAAGGGTTTATCTGTGCTAAAAGCCCCAGAGGAAAAGCAGCTATGAAGGCAGGCATACTCATGGGAATATCAGGTCCATTTCACATTCCAAGGACATTTATACTACAAACCCTATAACAGCTAAATCAGAAAAAAGTAAGAAAGCTACAAGAAATGAACCAAAAAAAGTATCCTAAAATTTACACACTTATCTTTAGTGAGATTACATATTTTAATACCCTCTCAAGACTTGGGGTGTGGGGTGAAGAAAATAAAAAGATGCTGTCCATACTACTTTTAAATTACTAGTTCAAATTAAGTTTCCTTTACCTTTAAGAGTGGGTCAGCATGTTCCAAAAACCATCCTGCAACTGCGTGCCCTGCCTCATGATATGCTACTGTCTTTTTTTCCTCTGGTTGCAGTACTTGAGTTTTCTTTTCCAAACCTTTATAAAATAAATTTGATTAATAGTTTCAGACATACCTTTCTCCACTGAAATCCCTTATCTCATTTCAAAAGACGGTGAGCAATACTTAGATGCCATGTATACAGTCTACTGAAAAAGTTTAAAAAACAAAACAAACCAAAACTTTCAAGTTTCAGAAATTTGTATCTTCCAGGTTTTCCTGTAATCTTGTCCTTGATTAGATTTTCTAGTTTCAAAGTGTAAGTTCTCAAGAATATTCAAACATTTAAATAAAACATTTGCATTTTAAAAATCAAATAGTTTTCTAGACTATTCCAGGCTAACAGCAGTTAAAAGCATTGCTAAATCCAAACAGCTATTCCACTTGCCATTTGGAAGAAATTAGAAAAGCGTGCTGATGAAGTTTCTCTTGCTAACCCTTTCTCCATTACAGAAGTCAGCAATATAGACAGGATACTTCTTTCCTAAATCTCAAGAGTGTTTAGGAGAGAAGGATGGCTTTATACACACACACACACATATATATATAGGAACTTACCTGTCACATTACAATTTTTGAGAAACGACTGATGCGATTCACCTACCTCCAATAACTCTTTCAATTGCTTGCTCAAAATGTTTTTGGTTTATAGCATCTGAGAGATGCCTTGCAGCAATTAAAGCAGCTTCATTACAAACATTAGCAATATCAGCACCTAAAAGCAGAGAAGACATCAATTACTGATCATTTTCAACAACTTTCTCTCAGTCTAGCATAAAGATAACGTTATCTAGAATTAGATTTCTATAGATTCTCATAGAGCTTGAAAATTAAAGGTAATGGTCTATGAAATAGTTCATTACATACAGCATAATCCTTCAAGAGATATTTAAATACATGTACCATGATTATAGGCTTTAGGATTTTTCTCTTAGGTAGACAGCTACCAAATAGAACTTATTACCAGTGAAGTACTTTGATATATCCTACCTTTCCTAAGTTTTCTGTCTGCAACAGACTGCTTAGACTAGTATATATTTAGCAGAGTAAACTTCCTACATATGGATCCAGTATAGCTCAGACATTGATGTATCTCTAGAGGATATCCTTTCACATTATTGTCTTCAAGCCATACACTTCTTGTTAACGTTACTTGCAGTAATGCTATTGAGGTAACTTAAACATCACTGCAATTGCCAGAAAGGTCGACAAACAGACCTCAGAAAACCAGTTTTTATAGACAATGAAAATAGTGAAAAATTCAACTACTGGTCAACACAGATTTTAAATTGATTAAATTACAAACCAGTAATGAAAGTTCTCACATCCACTCCTAAATTCAACACACAGTTACACTACTTTTTCCAAGGGGAAGTTTTTACATCCAGAAACAGAAATCCCCCTACAGAACGTGCACACAAACTCCACAAAACCCAGGTCTTCCCTAGTACTGTTCAAAGAATCCAACAAACATATTAAAAGGAAGTATACACACGTGAGTGACAGCAATCAGAAATTCCTGGATTGCTTTTGCTGAAGACACAAGAAGCTGCCATTTGGTATGTCATCCTGATTGAAGCAGGCAAAACTTAAGAGCCTCAGAAATTTCCTACTTGCTCAAGCAACCAAAGATAATTTCATGGTGGACCAGTAAATAAAATAAGAGTGTCATCCAGAAGATCATGTGCAAGAAAACCAGAAGTAGCAGGGAAATAAAATTTCTACAGCTTAAATAGTAATGCAGAAGAACAGTGGCACTGGAGTTACTTACCAGAAAAACCAGGTGTTAGTGATGCCAGTTTTCTTGCTAGGTTATCTTTATTTAGGATGGAGTCTAATTTCAGAGGTCTAAGGTGAACTTTGAAAATAGATGCTCTTCCTTTTATATCCGGGGGTCCTTTAAGATTAAAGAAGCATGCTTTTAGTTTTCATATATATATTCGAATTGAATGTGTGCAAGGAAGTTACTATGTAAAGCTATGTAAATAGCTGCAGTTATTTCAGCGGTATTCTACAAACATAGAAATATACAGTGATGCAGATAAAACTTACCGATGTAAATCTGCCTGTCAAATCGTCCTGGTCTCATTAGAGCAGGGTCTAAAATATCTGGCCTGTTAGTACCTGCCAAAATGACTACATTTGTGGTTGTATTAAATCCTGTTGAAGAAATGCAATAAAGAGAAAATCTACGTAACTATAATTGCCAAGAAAAAAAATAAAATAGATTGTCCACTTTACAGGGCCACATAAGAACTGTCAGTTTAAAGAAATTATCTTAAAGCTGAAAATACTTCCATCTATTAGTGCACTGTCCAGGTCTAAAAAAAGGCCTTGGGCTCTGCTTTGTGAAGTACTATATCAAATCTGACTTTATCTTCAAATGATAGATTTGAAGCAATGCCAGATTAACTGCTCTGGAAATTGCAGAACCAGCATGGCTACCTGTATGTTTTTTCTCCAGACAGACTGGTCTCATGCAAATAATTTTTTTTGCCTATTCTACTATGACAAAGAGTTATCAAATGCAGAATGATAGTTCTTTTTTCTAAAAAAAATTTACCAAAACATCAGGCTTAGCAAAATGAGTCACCATTCTTCATTTTAGGAAGCAAGGAAACACAATTTATATTTAAGCTAGAATCCAAATCTTGGTTAACAGGTCTGAACAAGTGTATTAGTTCTGTCTCTTATCCTTGTTACTATAATGTAATATTAGATGTTAAATACTTACCATCCATTTCTACTAGAAGCTGATTAAGCGTGTTCTCTTGTTCACTTTGTCCTCCAAAGTTGCCCCTTCCTCTCTTCCTTCCTACTGCATCTATTTCATCAATGAAGAGAATGCATGGGGCATTTTTACGAGCAAGGGCAAATAAGTCTCTAACCTTAACAGAAGAACAGAATATACATCAGATTGGTTTGCCACTGTTCAGAGTTGGGGGGTGGGTAGGAGGGGAAGAGGTACATCAGTAACAGTATCACTATAATTGAGTATGGTTGTTAAGTGCTTCAAGGCCAGGGTAAGTTACACTGTAGCTGCCGCTGAGCAAGAATCACTAATAGGGAGGCCTAGGGATTGACAAATCCTTTCTCAATTCATAAATTCACAACATTAACCTAAAAGGCTTAAGAAATAACCCCTTTTCCTGAATAACTGAAATATATCTTCACCTTCAGCTCTAAAAGCCTCCAAACTTCAGAGATTTAAAGCAAGATTTCTCTTTCAAGCTCTTCTTTTAACGCACAGTATTACAAGCAGAACTGTGAATGGGCATGCTGCCACACGGTAGTTCTTCATACCAAGGAAATAAAATTTTAAGTTTTCCTGCAGTTAGACAGGGTGATGTAGCTCCTACAGTGGACTTAAGGCTTACTCACAAGCTCTTACCACTGTACTCTAACAATATGCTGTTATAAATATAGACTATTAGCCATCCTGTTTCCCCATTACATGGGCTAGGAAAACTGAATTCACCGCTAAATATTGATTCGGAAGTAAAATTAACTTCTAGAAGTCTGGAAAAAATGGCCAAGACATGAGCAAATAGCTGAAAATTTTTTGGACTTTCAGCTTTTAAATAAGATATTACCTTTCAAATTCTACTGTAGTAGTTACAGCACAATGTAATGTTGCATCTTAAAGCCAATCACAATGTTACTCTGCTTGCAAATAGATCTGAAGGACCTCATTAAAACCAGTTCAGCAAGTTAACAGATCTACAACTCGGCAATTGAACTGGAGCAAACAGGAAAGGAAAAATTATGGAAAAGTTTTGACCTGAGTGGGAATTACACGCAGCTCAGAGCCCTGCTATGTTTTTTTCTTACTTTGCATGTTACAAGGTACAATCAGAGAAGGCTTCTCTGATGACAAAAAATGTACAGCAGATGTGAAGAGATGCGGATCTTGGGCAGTATGCTCTACTACAGAAAATCACTCTGACTTGTAAACAGAATTTGAAAAAAATACAATGAATAAAGCATGAAGGAATGTTGATAAGGAAAAAGTGTCAGATGCTCAAAGTGAACTATCTTTTGGTTGGAAAGAGAAAGATTCAGAAATATACAACCATTTTTCAGATGGAACCAAACTAAAAATTACAATAATGCATATACACTTTAAAAAAGGAAAAAAACCCAAAGGAACCAAGGCTGTGTAAGCAGTTTTAATTCTAGCATATCCTAATTTACAAATAATCAATTTAGCATCATTATCAACTGTCCTATTTACTCAATTAATAAGAAATTAAACTAAAACACACTCTCATGTTGTTTTCTACAGGCATCAACTGGGTGGAAACCTTGATTCATAGCCAAACCAGCAACTGTTATGTCAACAGATTTCACTTGGTAGTAAAAGCTGATAATCATCTGCATAGACCAGCAGAGAATGATTACATCACTTTGCTTTGGGGCATTTCTGGTATGTATGGACAACTAATGCCAATGTAGTGTCCAAGTACCATTATTCTTTCAAGACGTTTAATACCTTCCCAGGGAATATGGATCAGTTTCTTTTCTTGTTGTTTCTCAGTAGTCCCTTCTACACTGCACGCTCCTTTTTCCAAGTCCCACTCATCTCACATACATGATCGCTATCTCCATACCCTTTGGCTTTCAGTCACCATCCATATTTTTACCCTGTTAGCCATTTCTGCATCTGTTTCCCCACTCTGTCTATACCCTCACCCCCCCATAGCAGCTCCTTTTGCCAATTTCCTTACACATTGCCATTCTCTCTCTGCATCCTCACTGAAGCCTCCACTCCCAACTAGCTTCTGCATTTAATTTTCTGAACAGCTCCTGTTACTCTCAGATCCAAGCTCTGTGCCTACCTGTATGTGTCCCCCACTCCCCTTCTCTTTTCTCTTGTCAGAAGACCCAAAATTCTGTGTCTGGCTTTAATTCTCTTTTCCCATCTATATTACTGTAAGAAGTCCAGCAAAAGACCATTGAAAGAGACCTAGGCTTGCAAGAGGCATATGCATGCACAGCTGTGACAAACTAAGGACAAAATCTTGGAAAGTTTATCTGGTAACCTCTAACGCATCTAGACACGTGAAAAATGCAGTTTTTCAGGGCTTTACAGAACTCAGTCTAAAATTAGTTTTCCTGGGAATTTTCACAGGACATAAAACCACATATATCTGGTTAAGAGCCATTCCCTGTCAAACTTCAAATTCAAAACAAGACCCTAAAGCATTTCCATTTCATGCTAGTAAAATTAGTTTTTTAAATATGAGTAAAAACAATGGTACACTTCCTTAGGTCTGTTTGCAGAACTTGCAGCAAACAAATCTTAGTTTTACAGTGTGCCACCTTGCAGTGTACTTTTTAAGGCTTAAGACAAGATTGTTGGTATTTGGTGAAGGTATGAGCTGTTGGAAATGAAGCATAGATTTTGGACATTATAAGGAAACTTATTTTTTTCTGTTACCTGCCTCATTTGTAAAATACTATCAGTAAATTGTTTATAGAATATTTTTCTGCAGATTTAAGTGTCCTTCCTTCCTAAACAGAAGATAGATTTAAAACTGACTGTCTGAAATGTAGTTGTAATAAGAAAATAGTTAAAGAAATATGGATGTACTGGAACAGAGCTAATTCCCTCCACTTAATATGCTTCTAATGAGCTATTTTAAGAGATTTAAGGCAAAAGAGCACAAAAAATGTTAGACAGACATCTCTGCCTATTTAAATCACCTATCTCCAGAAATCAGTTATTAGAACCATGACCTGCAGACTCCTATTTTCAACCAGAAGCTCAACTATTTAAATATAAAAGTTTGACACCACAAAGAGAATAAAGTTCTTCAAAGAAACAGGAACAATCTAGAGCAGGATGAGACATTCCCATAGCAGTAGTCAAACGAGCTACATAGTTCTGACCCAGCTAGTAAATTCGCTTCAGAGTAGAGCTGGGAGAATTCAGTTCTGCTTTCTTAAGATCCTGCAAAGAGGTAAACCCATAAGGTCCTGATGGCCTGCAACCAGATACTGAACTGTGTTATTTCCTTTTATGAAAGGTACATCTATGATTCTTGTGTTAAACAATCATCTGGCATCACTTGTTAGTAATCTGCATTGACGAAAGAACTTCAGCTATAATCAAACTGCCTCCCAAACTTGACAACATCCATTTAACAACCAATACTGAAACTAAAGCGCAAGGCCAAAGACTTACTCGAGCTGGACCCACACCAACAAACATCTCTAAGAACTCCGAGCCATTGACTGTGATAAATGGTACATTAGCTTCTCCAGCTGTAGCTTTAGCTAGAAGTGTTTTCCCAGTACCTGGAGGACCTGTCAGAATTGCCCCCTGCAAGAGAAACAGGTATATTTTTCTCATGAAGAAAACATAATATAAGCCTATGAAATACCTTACTTAAAATATCTACAATGTTATGATGTTGAGTCCACTGGCTCTTTTTCCACCAGTTAAAGTTGTGCAAAGCAACTAACCGAAGATTCATCTCTCATTTAAACCAGCAAAAAAAATCAACAACATACTACAACGTTCCTATGCTGTCTTGGGTTTACAGGAGCAGTGTTTTCTTTGACTGACCAAAAAAAAAAGCTACACCATCAGGTGGGCTCCCATGACAACACAGCCAAATGACAATTCTATAAAAGTTATACACAACAATGATGCATGATATGTATAACTGCATGCATGTACACATGCATGATATGTATCATTTCTGACCCATGTGAGCAGATGAAGTACTCCACGAGGCAAATCTTCTGGGACCACAGTTATACTGTTGGCACTTAATACCTATTTCTTTTTTTTCCTGACTTTGAGAAGAAAGAAGCTGGAAAGTATTGCATATGTAAACATTCCTAATCCAATTTAGAATACTGAGGACTACCAAAAGAATAAAGTCTTCATCTGCTAAGTCATCACTTCCTTACCTTTGGAATTTTTGCTCCCAGATCCTCATATTGTTTGGGATTTTTCAGAAAGTTAACAAACTCCATTATCTCTAATTTAGCCTCCTCACAGCCAGCTACATCTTTGAATTTAACATCTATTTCATCCTTAAGAACTTTGGCTGTGGTTTCACCCACACTGAAGAGTCCACCCATTCCACGCCCTGCTCGACCTAAGCCTGCAGGACCTCTTCTTAATGTGTATAGTAAAGAACCAATAATCAAGATTGTAGGCAGCAAACTCAGGAGAAATGATCTGTGGAGAAAAAACAAAGCAGGAAACCACATATATTACAAAAATCCATTACTACACGTAACATGTACAAAATGTTGTTTCCATCATATACAACCCTGAACAAATTCAGGACAAATACTCAATTAACTTGTAATGTTTAAATTTTTTCCAGTTGTTCAGATTGGGAAATCACCAAAATAAATTTGAGAACAACAACATAAAAAGATTCTGAATTGCAGAAGTCAAATAGGCCAAAAAACTTCTTATAACTATAATTTAAGGAAAAGTTGGAATTAATTTTTCATTGCCCATCCTCCTTCCCTCATGACTTTAGGAAAATGTAAATTAATAATCCTAGAGGATTACACATTTCTACATCTGATGTTTACCAAGTGACAGTTTTGGGGTTTGTTTTGTTATTTTTTGTTTTTAAACCAAAAACATCAAGTTACGTTGATGAGTTTTACAGAGGAAAACTGCACTATCTAGTAAACAGAAGTAGCTAATTTTCTGTGCTCTTCAAAGGACCAGTTTATGCAAATAGTTATATTGTCAAAATAAGTTGTATTAGGTAGCCTATAATAGGTGTATGCTACAACTTCAGTCAGAAATTTCTCTCCAAAACATAATCTTGCTCTTATTCAGTTAGATCCTTCTCATTTTTATTTTTTCAACATCTCTATTTCCCTTCCCGATGGCCACAGGTTTTGGGTTAGTTGGTTTTTGGTTGGGTTATTTTGATTACTCGTTGCCAATTATCCTTCACTGTCTGTCCTCCAGCTTTCTAGCATAGGTCAGGCCAAAAATCCCAATACTAACATAGTCTGCATTATCACAGTATCTGAGCACTGCACAGATTTTTCTGTGGCAAGACCTTCCAAGGAAGAGCTCACAAGCTTCTGTCAACACTCAGCAAAAACAAAATGCTGAAAAGAAGCACTATCATACATGAGCACAGGATTTCCTGGCTTTACTGATATCCCATGTTTCTGAGATGAAAAGAGGGATTTTCCCTATCCTATGGTATTCAGCCAATTCTGATCTGGCAGAGAACGGCAGTACTCTGACCATGTAGCTGCTGTTCTCTCCTGTTTCCTGTGGCATTTCTGGGACAGAGAAATACTGGTGCTCTTCAACATCTTTATCAACG